ATTTCATGGCAACTCAATAAGCCAAAATCAAGCTTCAAGGTACTAAAATAATCTTTACAGTCAAACTTTTTATCATTCTCTTATCTACGACTGTTATCACATCTGACATACAGTTGTTTTTATGATCGGACGCTTCCTGTGAGTTAGAGGTGGTACTGTGTCTTCTAAATATATAATCGCATTTCATCTCAATAACATTATTTTAGAGATGAGAAAACCGAGGCCTAGAGAAGTTAAGTAAAATTTGTGTCCTCAAGTTCTACAATGAGTAATGAGTCCTAGCTCCTTGTTCAGAGCCCCAGAAACTTCGATGTAAGGAGCTTTTTAAGGTACTCAGTACAGGGAAGTTAAGAAATAGCCCACCAGACCATGGCAAATCTAAGGCATGAATATGGAGTGATTTTCTTGCACTGTGAGAGCTAGAAGCCAGGACAAAACACCAATCTTGCCTCTGGAAAGATGATTCGGGAACCAACTACATTGCATGTTAGTACACATCTACCATTTCTGCCTGCCAAGCCCCCAGCAAGGGGCCTGGACTGTCTAGGTGGCATATCTATATAAATCTATCCTTGCTGGGAGGTGGGGGGCAAAACCTTACTCCCTCAGGGTCTGAAATGACTCTTAGTGTCCCTGGTCATCACAAGCAGCTGGCAAACTGAGATAAAAAAGGAGACTCAAAGATCAAACAGCACTGTGTGTAGCTCTAAGTACAATAAGCTATTGATAAAAGAGACCCTGAGTCATCAAGAATACATTTAAGGAAACAGAGATGTGTGCAGCATATGATAGCAGGCTTTTCATTTAAAATTGTTAAAGTGAAAATCTAGGCACTTGATCTGGCAAGTTTTATGAGCCCTACTGGAGAATGCACTTTATGTGGAATTCTCATTTCCTGACAACCCTGGATGGATCAGGCATAGCTGTGATAATGTTCATCTCTCTGCATTATAATGAAGCTGCCATGGTAACTCTAGAAGTCACTTTAAAAATGTGCCATTTTAAAAGTTCATTTCTTAGAAAAAGATTAGCACAGCTGTAACACTCATAATAATCTAATGAGACTTGAAAAGAACACTCGGGCAAAAAAATATATAGACTGCTCAGATTTAGCCATTGCATGGTCCTTCTGAGAATGACGTGGTCCACCCATGACTTCCCTAATCGATGAAACAAGGGGGACACTAGGTCAAAAGCGTAATTAAATCTTGATGTGTATAACCCAGCAGTGGAACTCATTCAGCTCCTGCTTAGCTCAGGATGCTTGCTAAGTAAATCACACAAGCAGTTGCATAGAAAATTTTATGTACTTGTCATTTGGATAATTTAAGGAGTTAGGTATAATAAATGTTCCCAGCATTAGTTATTTAGGAAAGGTTGACTGTACCTTTTACGACCGGTTGCAGAAATTCAGACCGGGAAGGAAACAAATGTGACGCATGGGAATTGGGTACATTTCCAAAGTAAAACCCTCCATCCTTGGCCCCACCCACTCCAGGCTTTTTGAGAGGAAAAAGGCATAAATCAATGCTGAAGGTTATGGAAAACCTTTATCTTTTTTTCTAAGGGAGCGTGTAACTTTTTAAAAGTTCACTGTTTTTGGAGACTGAATCATGTGGCGAGATACGGCATGCTCAAGAAACTCCTCTTATCTCTGGGACCTCCTGAGCACCAGAAGCACGCAACCCAGGAGGCGTGACGTGATGAATTCTCGAAGTGGCATCTTTCATTGGAACATCCTTTCCAACGTTTTCCTTGAAGGCTTACGATTTAGGATCGGGGCCCTGGCTACAAATTTAAGTCAGTCAAATTTAATAAATCTTTATTAGCAGGAGCCTTTTATGGACATCTGCTCATAAAAGAAGAACATTAGTCTATAGGTAGCATTCCACATTGCTCACAATTGTCTTTTAAAGAAACTAAGCTACATGGTCCAGGAGTTGCAGGAGTCCGTGTCCTCTCTTAGCCTTGCTTTCTAAAACACCCAACAGTGGTTTGATGGTCCATTTCACCTATTAAGTTAAAGAAAAGAACAATGAAACCGTTTGATTGATACCCCTCCCCCCACCACACACACAATTCCTGCCAGAGTCAGTCGACTTGGTTGTTTGACATTGTGTGGAGAAAACAATAGAAATATTTTGAGTCATCTGTTTTGACTTCACGTCAAACGGGCCTTGCCATCAAAACGTTATTTTGGCCCTCTCAACAATTTCTAGACATGCTGGTGGCAGTGGGATCAGATAGAGGTGGAGAAGTTTCCTTGAAACTGATTATGTTACACACAGTGGAAAAGAAGCAGAAAATCAAATTAGGCCAGTCAGCCTGTTAAGCAGACTTCCGGATATATTTGCTTGTCAAAGGACCAAGAAATGCCAGCTCAGCCTTCTGCCCTGAGAGCAGGGACAAGACTCATGCTACCTCACACCTGTTTAGTTTGAATCTTTCATAAACATCATGGCTGGTTTCTTAGGGTGCTTCACGACTCCCACAACTTGAATATTTCATGGCTGGGAAGTTCTATTTAGCAGGTGGGAACAAGAACCTGGGAGCTCAGAGTCACCACCAGGTCTGTGCCCCATTTTATCTATAAACTGATAATGACTGAAGAAACTCCACCCAACCTTTTATAATTAATAGCAATTACCTTATTCTAGAATATGGGTTTTTTCCTTCTTTTTTCCCTGAGGAAGATTAGCCCTGAGCTAATATCTGCCACCAATCCTCCTCTTTTTGCTGAGGAAGACTGGCCCTGCGCTAACATCCATGCCCATCTTCCTCCACTTTATATGTGGGATGCTGCCATAGCATGGCTTGATGAGCAGTGTGTAGGTCTGCACCAGGATCTGAAGCAGCAAACCCTGGGTCGGCAAAGCGGAGTCCGTGAACTTAAGCGCTGTGCCACCAGGCCGGCCCCTAGATTGTGTTGTAAACATTGTGTCCCAGGGATAAAAAATGTGGAATTCCTACTTTGTGAGAGCTCACATGAAAGTGAATGAATTACTGTTATGGTGGGAAGAATGGACCCTCTTTCTTCTCAGCTGTTTACATTTGTCCATCCCCAGGCACCTCGCTTCCCCATTCCACCTGGAGGTTTTCCAAATTTACACTCATTTACCTTCAACCAAACCAGTGCCTCCTCAGTTTTATTAGGAGATCTTACAACCTACTTTATCCACTGAAAAACGTAGACACGCAAAATCATAGATTCCCTCTACCTCAAAATTTATATCTTCGACTAACTGTACCCAGTGTCTTTCCTTTGAAGCTACCCTTATTCCTTGCAAGGGTATGACTCATTTTTAAAATTTCCTCCCTTATGTTCATGTACTTATGCTCCAGACTCCTTGTAACCCAAGGACACACCCAGTGCCTCTCTGAACTCTACAACTCAGCCTAGAACATTCTTCCACATTTTCTCTACAGACACACCATGCTTCAAATCTTCCATCCATCTGCCAGTCCGTTTTACACCCTGCTTCCTCTCTTATCTTTTGTTTCTTGTATCTTTGACTTCTCTTTCTCCACTGAGCTTTCTTTCGAATTGGTAGAAGTCATCCTAAAGAAAAAAGTGAAAAAAAATCAATGCTTTTCTTTAATGTTACTAACTCATTAAATTACTAGTCTTCTCTTCCCTGCATCTCTTTGAAAGAGGTATACTCATTAGTTCCACTTTTTTAAAAAAGATATTACTTGGATCTCTTTTTATTATAAAATGAATAAAGAAAATTTGGCAAAATGCTTAAGAGTTATAAGAAGAGAAATAAACACCACTCACAATCTCACCATCTAGAGGAAAAGCCTGGGATGATGGAAGGCAGTATACTCTTGGCTTCAGTGAGCAGACTACAAAATTAGACTCAAGGTTCGCATCTTGGCTCTGTCGCACATCCGGTACCTGACTTTGGTCAAGTAAACTCACCTCTCTGTGCCTTCGTTTCCCCTTGTACAAAATGTATAACCTCAGCCCCTCAGGGAATTGCTGTGAAAATTAAACAGGTTAATGTAAGTGCGTGTACAACACTTATAGTGACTGGCCACTAGTAAATAAAGCAATAAATATGTTAGTACTTTTTTTATCGGTGATGTAGATATTTTTAGTCTTCTCTTTGCACGTATACTTAAACAGATTCTTATTTGGGATCTTGTTATACAAATTGCTGAACAATTTGCTTTCTTGTCTAACAATATTGTGTGTCTCCACTTCCTCCGTCTTTATTTACTCTCCATCTTCCAGCAGCCGGGCGTGGGGATGGGTGCTACAGTTCAGCCACCTGGTCGGTGGCAAACAGTGGTCTCTAATATCATGTGATGAGTTCCTCCCCAGTTCTTGTCCTTGCTGAAGTTTTGAATACTACTGACCTCCCCTCACTGAAGCTACTTTTTGAGCTTCACTGACTCTCTTCTCTCATCGTTCCTTTCCACACGCCTCAGTCTCCTGTGAAGCACATGCCTTCTGTGGTTAAATTGCTAAACATCGTCACTTCTTCCCCAGAGCACCAAGGCATATTCCTCCTTTGTGCTCCACTTCCTCCTTTGCATATGCCACCCATCCTTCCAACTTAAGATTTTCAAAACTAACCTTATTTTTTTCCCAAAATATCCCCCACTTTATTTCATCGTTCATCCAATGGCAGTTAAGAGCATCACCGCCCACCCAGTCATCTAAGTCATTTTAGACCTTTTTCTTTTCCCTTGAGGATATTCTCACTCGGAGCCCTTTGCTTTGTGTAAAATTGAACTCATCTACGTCTTCCACACCTCAGAACCCATCTTTCAAATCTGTTCTTACTCATATAGTTCCTGTCTCAACCACTGGTACCGAAATCCACCTGGTGTCCTCAGTCAGAAATATTGTTGTTGTCCTCAATTTTGAACTTGACTTCTTCCTCCACTTCAGCCAACCACGACATCCTGTCACTGTGACTTCCTTCCTGACTACCTCTCTATCTCCTCTGCCCTGCTTTTTCTCAGGTCCTCACACTCCCCAACCTGTGTTATTGCAATGGCCTCTTTTGGTGGGTTGAATAGTGTTTTACAAAAATGCATGTCCACCTGGAACCTCAGAATTTGCCTTTTTTGGAAATAGGATCTTTGCAAATGTACTTAAAGTGAGAATTGAGATGAGGTAATACTGATTAGGGTGAGAGTGTCCTATAAGAGACAAAAAGACACGCAGGGACTCATACAGAAAAGAAGTTCATATGAAGATGGAGGCAGAGATGGGAGTGATGCTACCACAAGCCAAGGAATGCTAGGGACCACACGAAGCTGGAAGAGGTAAGAAAGGGTCTCTGCTAGAGCCTTCAGAGGGAGAGGGGACTAGTTGACACCTTGATTAAATTCCTTAAGCCACAAAATTTTGGTAATTTGTTATGGCAGTTCTAGAAAACTAATACAACTCCCAACTAGTTTTCCTCATAAATCCATCCTCTGTGCTTCTGCCAGAGCTATCAGATCACGATGTCTCTGATTAACGTCTTTCAATAAAATACAGTCAAGGCTCCTCCTGACCTGGCTTCTCTGCCTTTTCTTATTCTCCTCCTGTGAACTTTATACTCCTGACCACCTGTGACCCCGGAGCACAAGTTTTGTCCACACCTAAGTGCCTTTCTGGATTCTGCCTTTCTGCTTGGAATTCCCTTAGCAGCCTTTCTTTCTCATGCTATTTGTCACCTATCACAACCCAGACCAGGCATCACCTCCTCTTTGTGGTCTTTCTTGACTCTTCTTTGTCATGTTTATGTCTTGCATTTTCTTCTATTGTTATATTTATCACATACTGTAATTGTTTATATCCTCTCATTCATCTTTACAGTCTTTTGTTCATTTGTTTTGGCAGAGGGCCAAACACATTGTAGGTACTCAATATATATTGAATGAAAGAATTCCTTCTTCCTCATAAATTACACCTAATCAAGTGTATGTCAATTTCAATTCAAAAAATCATTTTGAGTCTTTCCTCCCAGTTTTCTCCCCAGTCTTGCTATCTTGGTTCAACAGTTCAACTGTCTCTCCTAAACGGTTTTCCTGCCTCCATTGCCATCTCTTTCCATTTTGTTTCTCCTTCTGCCATTAATAGAATCTTCCTGAAACCCATCTAAGATTATGTCATTCCCTCAGCTGGGAATTTCAACAATTTCCCATTAGCTTCAGGATGAAGCTTTAACTTTATATTGCGATTTATAGGGTTGTTCCAGTCTCTATCTGTCATGCATGCCGTGCTCAGTTTCACTAGATTTCCTACAAATCCTTAAACCTCTATCTATGTTTGTGTCTTCAGATCTTTGCTCTTCAGCTTTCTCCTTCAAGTGGAGTCCTCTTCCTCCTTAATGGGGCTCAAGTGTCTCCTCCTCCTTGAGAGTCTTCTCAAGCCCTGGGGTGGACATGAAAAGTACATTACTGTTTCTCCCATCTGCCTGCAGAATTCTGTCTCAACTCCTTCATTAAAACTCAGCACAGTCTTGCATAGCTGGTTGTATACATTACATGTCTGTCTCTTTCTGCTTGACCTGTCCCCACCCTGAGTATGAGAATCTCAAAATTGAGAACTTATTTGTAGTCCCAATAACCAGGAAAGAGTAGGTGCTCAGTAAGCAGTGTCTCAGAGTCGACTCTTTCTCTGTTAAGGAGTTTGCTAATTTGTTCTCAACCATAACATAAATATACAAACACATACATGTGTACAATGGTGATGGTTAATTCTACACGTCAACTTGGCTAGGCCACAGTACCCAGATATTTGGTCAAACAGTATGCTAGATGTCGATGTGAGGATATTTTTTTTTTTTTCTTTTTAAGATTGGCACCTGGGCTAACAACTGTTGACAATCTTTTTTTTTCCTCTGCTTTATCTCCCCAAACCACCCCCTGTACACAGTTCTATATCTTAGTTGCAGGTCCTTCTAGTTGTGGGATGTGGGACGCCGCCTCAACGTGGCCTGACGAGTGGTGCCATGTCCTCCCCCAGGATCTGAACCCTGGGCCACCACAGCAGAGCGCGTGAACTTAACCACTCGGCCACGGAGCCAGCCCCTGTGTCAGGATATTTTAAAAATGAGATTAACATTTAATTAAAGTAGGCTTTGAGTAAAGCAGATTATCCTTTACAATTGGAGTGGGCCACATCCAATCAGTTGAAGGTCTTAATAGGAAAAAGATTGACCTCTCCTGAGGAAAAGGAAATTATGCCAGGAGACAAACTTTTGGACATGAACAGCAAATTTTGGACTTGGTAGCCTCCACAATTTCATGAGCCAATTCCTAAAATAAATCTCTCCATGTGTGCACAGCCTATTGGTTCTATTTCTCTGGAGAACCCTGATAAACACAACAGTCAAAATATATTTCTTCTCACCTGAAACATTTCATTGATTCTCCACACAAAAGTTTCCCCGGAGCTGGCTGGTGGTGTAGTGGTTAAGTTCATGTGCTCAAATCTGGCAGCCCAGGGTTCGTGGGTTTGGATCCTGGGTGCAGACCTATGCACTGCTTATCAAGCCATGCTGTGGCAGCCTCTCACATACAAAATAGGGGAATATTGGCACAGATGTTAGCTCAGGGGCAATCTTTCTTAAACAAGAAGAGAAAGATTAGCAACACATGTTAGCTCAGGGCCAATCTTCCTCACCAAAAAAAAAAAGTTTCTAAAACACACTAACACAAAACTAGTTATAAATAAAATGCATGAACTTAGATTTGGAAGTGTTTGTTTGTAAGGGATGTGTTTGTCACCTAGTAGCCCTGGAGTCATCCTGAGCCTGAGTTTGAATCCTGGCTCTGGCAGCCAGGTGACCATGGTCAAGTTACTTAGCCTCTTGGTTTTCTGTGGCTTCATTTTAGAATGAGGTTAACCTGCTTACCTTCTATAATTGCAGTTATGAGAACTACATGATTTGCAGTGAAAACATGTACAGTGCTTACAACAGTGCCTGGCACATAGATGGTGCTCAGTAAATGTTAGCTGTCATGTTTATGAAGCCTCCTCTGTTCGTCTAATTGTTTCAGTTCACTCACTTCCCCTTTGTTGATTTACTACTGAGAAAAACAGGGATCGTGTTTGTCTGCAGTTCGTATAGTCTGAAAATTGATACACAATAATGTATCATTACTATAAAATTCAACTATTAAATTTTCTTTGGATGGCTTATGTTGCTTGACGTTAGTGACATTATATGTATATTCCCAGGGTGATATTTCTTGGTTGCTCATTGTTTAACCGAAACTATCTACTTCGATTCTAGGATATAAAAAATGTGGAAAGTTCAAATATACTGGTAAAAATGAAATATATTTTCATTTACTAAAGCTGTAACCAAGACAGAAGGCATTAATTAAGTCATTACTTAAGGGAATAAAAATGTTGTTTTTGAGTTTGGTAACTATTCTTCCCTGCCGAGCGAGGGTTTGCTACAGTTCTATCTTGAGCTATAACATATGCAAATACATACGCAATTAGAGCCAACTCTGGGTTTTCCTTACTTAGGAAAGAAAATAGTGGTTCAAAGAAAGTAAATCATGAAATACATTTTGTTTGGTCTGGAATTGCACCACATGGTTTAGGGGGAATTAGTGGATTCATTTTGTGAGTACGTTTTAACCCTTAACCTAAAGTAAGACTAAAATCCATCTTTATTTAGCACACTCTGGCTTAAAATTTAAGAAGTTGTTTCCGAATTGTGTTAATAAGATAGAGGAGTCAATCAGGAAGAGAGAAATGTGTGTGTGCATGTGTGTTTCACACACGAATTCCATAAGACATTGCTTTTGCCTCATTACTTTCTGTTTTCCACTGATGGTATTGAATTCCTCTTGCCCTTTCTTGATAAAGCATCAGATCCCTAAGGCATATACTAATGTTGAAAGAAAACACTCTCTTTTTCCCCCTTTCAAGTATGTGAAGGATCGGTGATGAAGACACTGTCCATCTTCTCTTATGCAGTTCTCTCCTTAGATCAGTACTAATAATTTGGCAATCAAATGCATTTGAAAGATGAAGATGAAACAATCTTCATTCTTTTTATCAGTGGCAAAAGAATTTCTGATTTACAAGTGGATCACACACTTATTAAAATATATTAATGATTATCTAAAAGACATAGAAGCGTAAATGATAGACTGAGCACAAAGTAATATAAACTAGAAGGACCCGTATTCCTGAAATCATTTAAGTCATCTCCTGTCTTCCAATCAGGCTTCATTAAATCAATACAGATTAATGAGTGTTTATTTCTTTCTTGTGAATTTCCAGGAAGGAAGATGCCTCATTTAAGGGGTAATCATTGCCTATATATGTACATATATGCATCTATATATAAATATATATATATATATAAAAAACATATGCTATTTAAGAAAATTCAAATCAAGTTTTAACTTGATTTGACCTTGCATTAATGTTTGCTTCTTTTTAACTTCTCGTAGGACAATTTCACTATAGTCCTGTGAAACCAGTATTCTTATCCCCATTTTATAGAAAGAAGAAAGATGAGGCACAGATTACAGAGGGTTACCCAGAAAAAAAAAAAGTTTTTGCTTTCTGTTTTATTTAACTCCAGACTTCTTTCCTTCAATCCAAGTTATTTTTTTTTAAAGTCTATATTATTTCTTACAGAACTATTATCAATGGACGGAAATCTTCAGATGGCATAATTTTTCTTTCTCCTTATCTTTTTCACCAGAAAATTTCTTTAATTTTTTAATAAAAATTGCTTAGAATTACGCTCCACTGATACAATGTGGTGACCACCAACTAATTTAGGCCCTCATTGTCAGTACAGTCGTGTGCCATGTAAAGGCATTTCGGTCAACGACAGACTGCATATACAATGGTTGTCCCATTAGATTAGCACCAAGTAGCCTAGGTGTCAGAGTGAGAGGCTGTAGCATCTATGCTTGTGTAAGTACACTCTGTGATGTTCGCACAATGACAAAATCGCCTAATAACACATTTCTCAGAACATATCCCCATTAAGTCGTTAAATGACACAAGACTGTGTTTCTGTATGTAAAAATTTGTTTGTCTTGAAATCTTTGTGCTTGGGTATTTATTAGGCTTGCTGACTAATGTAGACGCATCTGGTGAATTTTCCCAGCTTCCACATGACTTGAGAAACAAACCCAGAAACCCTTTGAAAGCTGAGCCCACTAGACCCTGAGCTTGATATCCATGGTCCTCTTAGTTTGGTCTCTTTCCAGACGGAGCATGGAATGAGAAACGTTCCCCGAGAGCTCTATGAAGCCCTTCCTATAAACAACCACCATTTTATGTTTCATTGGAC